TTTCAGAATTAAGTCACTAAGTATTCGTCGAAGCAAAACACGGTCCGAATAAAAATTGTATAGAGGAACGAAACACATGTATTATGTCCAATATACTTCTCCGTATATCGTATGGTTTTCGAAACAATGAAACAAAAGAAATGTTTATGCTGATATTTCATAACTCTACTACCGTTTGGACTGATTTGGTAAAACTCTGCATTTGGGGTCCTTGATCGCCGGTACAGACTGGTTTACTTAATTTTCAAGTTAATAAAACAGTTTTAATCACGAATTGAAAATATATGGTCAATTGCAGAACGAACAAGAATTATCACTAGATTCGTACATTCAATGAATTGTTTAACACAGCGCAACACAATTTTTAGTGTGTTTTTAAAAATACAATTTATTTACAAAAATTATATTTAAATACAGAAATGATAACATAGGCAATAAGAATTGAACATTCTGAAAGGATTACCCTTTCTAGACTGCATTACTTTCTTGGGGATAAATGCAAGCTTAAGCGATCACCATTCTGCTTTTGTGTGTATGTGTGTCCCCCTTTCAACGTTTTTACCACCAATGTTCACAAAATATGTTAATAAAGCTTATTAATCCCTGGTAGAGTAATTATTACGTTAGATTGTGGTGCTTTGTCAGCTTGCACCAATTAATATTGACTTCACAGGTGTTGTGTGAATACAAATTAAACAAATAAAGGAATATCTTTAATTATGTAAGATTTGAGGTTTTCACAGCTGTGAGTATGATGATTTCTGTCTTCTGGGTTGTTGCTCTGTGTAGTCTGGTAGATGTTTACCAACGTTTCAGAGGTCATACTGCCTCCGTCATCTTTAATTATATTTTACAACTTCTGACAATTGTGAATCATGCATAACATCGCCCTGATGACGAAGGCAGTATGACCTCAGAAACGTTGGTAAACATCGACCAGACTACACGGCGCAACAACCCAGAAGACAGAAATCTTCATACTCATCGCCCTGATGATGGAGGCAGTATGACCTCTGAAACGTTGGTAAACATCTACCATACTACACAGCGGAACAACTCAGAAGACAGAAATCTTCATACTCATCGCCCTGATGACGGAGGCAGTATGACCTCTGAAACGTTGGTAAACATCGACCAGACTACACAGCGCAACAACCCAGAAGACAGAAATCTTCATCTTTAATTATATTTTACTTCTGGCAATTGTGAATCATACATAACGCTTTTTAATTAAAGTACAATTCTTTGTCTGAATTGCTGAAGCAGTCTGTAACAGGCTAAATATTTATGACATTCTACAATTGAAGAGGGTCCATGCACTGCACGCTTGTGATCTCAGCAGATACAGTTACATCTGGGGACAAACAGCACACTCTAACAGACAACCAAAATAATGAAAAATATTGCAGTTGGTCCCACCCGAAGTAAAGTTACTTGGCGTTGTTAATAAAGGGAGTGGACATGTTAGTTCCGGGACATGTGGCACAACGGTCCATGGATTGTCACCACACATCCGCACTATACTCCATTCAGCAAAACATGACTTTAAGGAAGTGCGGTACGAATATGACATTCGAACTTTGACTTCGGGCCCATACCGTTTGAGAGGACAATTACCTTCATGTCTTCTTCATTTCAATTTACGTCTTTCAAACAGAACACCTCTTACATCAAACGTTTCACTTTCTAATCGACAATACGCTCGCATCAAAATAATTAACTCCATGGAACGTCTTTCCTCATGAGCTGAAGGAAAGGTTTGTTGCCGTGTTCACAAAAGCGAATCACCTAATCCTATCTTGAACCAGACGAATCCAGTCTACACCTTCAGTGTTTTAATATTATCACCCCATCTACACCGATATGTCATAGCTGGTTCATCTGACGTCTGCTGTAAGCGATAATATAATCCATAACGTTTACTGGGCGGCATGTAGTGTGAACATCGTGAAACAGGATATGTTAGATAGCTGCTCCTGAGGATTCCCCTGAGAGCGGTGTAGTTTTCACCTTGTATCTTTAAGAAACGCATTATAGTATATAACAACATTTATTTTAAATGTACCATTTTGTATTAATTTGAACAGAAACTGTCTGGCTTATGATACAATCCAAAGGCAGATTCGCGTGAATGCAGTAAGAAGTCTCTGAAATTGATCAACTGAGCGATTACTACCAGCTTCTCAATAACTTTAATAAATAAAGTTTATTATTTTATCTTATCTGTAATGTTTGGAAAATCACACTTTGTAATTTAAATTTCAAGTGGGAGCAATAATTGAATTATAAATACACAAATAACTTGTTAGGTCAAAAAATGTATCGGCGTCTAACAGAGTTCGTGTATTTGCGTGCTGCATTTTCAGAATAACAGCGACATAAGAAAGCATTGTATCCACTCTTCTTAATTGTACTGTAATTAGTACCATCAGGACAACCTAAATCAACCAATAATAATTGTATGTGATTTAACATAAACACCACAAAGAATAAAGCAGAAATTCTGCTACTGACAATCAAGGAAATTGTTCCGGAATAGATATAGACGATAGTGAAATGTAAGAGGTTACAATAGAAAGACAAGAAGAGACCAGAAGATAAACCCAACGTGTAAACTAGCTACTTTGAGAACCGACAGGGATATGACAGGAAAACGTTAATAATGTACTGAGGAAAATGGGTCTTAAGATGGGAGGTAGATGGAAAAGTCTCAGGATCAGTGGTAGGCTTTGGTGTTAAAGGTATTGAACTTTCGGATTCCACTATGAGAGGGTTACAAAATCATTTCAAATTAAGAGTTAATTTTCATGTTGTTAATTCGTTAAATCCCAAATATAACAGAGCTTTTTTAAATTTCAGTATCTGTGTTTAGTTTTCGGTGCTGTAATTGTCGTAGGAGGCAAATATACGGGGCAGACGAGCGAAATTACATATTTTAATACGTTTTCAGTCAATCTCTTTCTCAAATTTTGCTTCGTTCTTACTGATCTACATAATAATATGACACTGAGGTACTATTGTAAGATTTGGGGTTTTCACGACGATGAGTCTGAAGATTTCTGTCTTCTGGGTTGTCGCGACATGTAGTCTGGTAGATGTTTACCGACGTTTCAGAGGTCCTTGCTGCCTCCATCATCAGGGCGATGAGTCTGAAGATTTCTGTCTTCTGGGTTGTCGCG